AGAGGTGGATCCTTATTGTAACAATTACTAACATCTATATAACATGGTCATTTCTGGAATGTGTACTGGTAAAACATTGCACATAGTTTCACACAAGGATTCCAGGGACAATATTGTTGATACTGCATTTAAACTTTCTTGTAAATGTAGAATTAGGTGAGTTAACAACTGAAGATGACATTACATTATTCCTACAGAAGCTAAAGCTGGCCTGTTATTTTTACCTGTTTTATATAATGTAATATAATACAGTACTATGTATATAAAATTATGTATTATGATTCATTAGTCTGTCACATCTTCTGTTCGTCTGCTTTTCATAAAATATATTTGTATATGTCTAAAAGCGAGGTTACAACTGCCAAACTGTACTATTTTCTACAAAAGCAGAGCTTGTGAAGTTCATATATTTTTCCCAAACTTGATATACTTTTATAATTAAGGAAATTTTGGTTGTAGATGGGAGGAGTAAGGCTTCTAGCAATGTGGCCGGATTTGATGGAAAGTTGTAGTCCATATGCTATTTTGCAACTGACTACAGGAAATAAATGCAGAAATATATATCAATATAAGAGGAAACTGTGAACGAGAGTGAGCTAATGAGGTCCACTTGAGTAATAGCAAAGGACAGGAAGTAAGTTCTCTCTATACATACTATTTCTCTACACGAATGTAAAGATGTACCGCAAAATTTATTAATAACCCGTCTGACAGCATAAAAGGAATGATCAAGAATATTTAGATGAGACAAAAGCTTCAAATGATCAAGAAAATATATAAAAGTACATGAAGTGATATTTTATAAATGCTGCTTTACAATCAAAAATAATTTGGGGGTAGATCAAAAGCTATGCAAGACCTGTCCACATAGCCATATTCACCAAAACTCTAACTAGGTACCAAGTGTTCAAGCTTTAGCATGCCAGGAATCTCAAAATGCAATGGCACATGAATGGCGATAAACCCGGTACATTTCCTCCCAGAACAGCCAAGGATAACGGGACTAAATTGAAAATCATGAGCTCAACATTCATTGTAACCATCCTTCACCCAAACATTGTGACAAGCATTCACCTGCAAAATAGCGTAACCAACATTCAGGGGAGACAACCAATTCAACCTCAGATCATTATCATCATTAGACCACCAAGACGTTAGTATGTTAGAACTGTAAGGGAAACATGATGCAGGAGAAAGATATCATAATACAATATTATCTTAAAGGGGTGCTCGTCTGGAGTCACACAAGCTGAATAGGGAGTATGAAAGTTGGTATTTGTCATGATTCAATCAACTTATTAACTTTGTACATTTGTATTAGATGTACAAGAGTGTAAGATTCTGTTTATCATAACTTAGTAGATTATGCTTGATTTTCATTCAGAATTAGAGTTTCTACTTCTGTTTTTGCTGACATCACTAAATTTGTTATACACAATATTATAATGTATGATGTCATAATCAAAGCTCAGCTGGTCTAGCCAATCAGGATGTCAGAATGTTTGGTCAATCAGAACACAACAGCCAGTGTGACCAATCAGATTGTTAAACAGAATTTTACACTCAACGTTTCAAACTCCTAAATACAAGTGATTATGAAGTCAGTTTTTCTCTTGGGATAAAATAGCATACAATGGTGGCGACAAGCTGTAAGCTGAGTTGGACAGATGATAATAACAATGATATTAGATAGCATGCAGGATAACAATAATGTATATCATCAGAAGAACAGAATGCAAGCAGGAAGTGTGGTCACCTTAAACCAGAGAGGGGCTATGGGGTCCAGAGTTAGGCAGCTGGTAACAACAGGGGTTAGTAGGCATTGCCACGGACTAACATAAAAAGTAGGGCAACCAACCTGGACGACAGGTAGTGTGGGTTCAGAGTATTTCCTGGAAGGGGCTGTGTGATTGTATGGGCGGGGTTTAAATAGGGACAGAGGTAGGGGTGACGGTGAGGAGGAGGGAGACATCAGTTTAGGGGGTGGTGGGGTGAAGGCCGACATGTACGGCACACTGCCCAGCAAACACCGACTCAGGTCCTACAACAAATGGCACACAACATTACACACATTTTGCAACATATATGATCACACAGTGAGTTGATGAGTGTAGCAAACAAAAGTTCAACATGCAAAGGTTCATCAGACAAAGGCAACAAAGCTGGTGTACATGTTGCATATTTAAGGGAAGCATTAACCAGGATTTATTTTTTGGAAAGTTAATGCACAGAGCCTTGTAGACAAACATGCATTGTCAAGCAAAACTGGAGTGACACGTGTGCAGCCCTTTTACTGTTACTGTGGTAGGTAATCTACCAGGGGAAATGTGGGCCATGGCTACTGGTAGATTTACTCACCACTTTCAGATATGCCCAGCTTGGTTTTGTTACAGACCATTTGTCCCCACATTCAATGGAAACAGTGAATTTCACAAATATAACTGACGTTAACTCACATGTTTTTCATTTGATTAACATTTCATGTGAGGACAAATCGCCCACCTAGTAGGACCATTTTTGAAGATACTACTACTGCCACCTTGTTGACCCAGGAATGTGGGTGTGTTGGAGTACCTACCTGTGAAGACTTCACCATCATGTTCATCTCCTCATCCTCAGAGCTCTGGTAAAGACGACTTGACTGTGACCTCCCGGAGTAGGGAATAAATCCGCGTTGGGAACTTGGGTCCACAAATGAATGGTCAACCTCACTGTTTGTACAAGTGCTAATTTCATCGGTACTTGACAATGATGAGTTATCTCTCCTATATCTCCTCAGTTCAGCTGTGTTAGTAAATGAAGCAGAACGGGTCATTTTGGAATTTTTAGATGCAAGAATCCGTATTTCATCGCCTTTAGATTTTTTGCCTTGTGATTTTGCCTTAGCAGCAGTTGCAACTGACTTTCTAGGGTCATATTCCTTCCTGCGCCTCCAAGCTTCTTTCTCTGCTGACTTGGGTGAGTTGGTGCGACTATTACTGGTCTGATTGTTGGTGCTGCTCCTACTAGAACTACTCACCCCAGTCACAGACAAGCCTGTCGTCCCATAAGTTGAGTTTTTTAACCTGGCTTTGATTGATTTTATATCAGTCTTGCGTATATCAGTTCCCAAAGTAGACACTGGATCAGTGCTAGAGTAAGCCCTATTGAGTCGTAAACTGTGTCTACCTCCATCTCTTCGCAATAAGTCGCTGGTAGAGCGTGTGGTATTGTTACGACTCCGCGCCACAATTTGTCCACCGAGACTCAGATCACTGCGTGCGGAATCATTTGTCCTGTCTGAATATAAACGTGACTTTGAAGAAGGTCGCGAGGAGTTG